CATCTGCATGGGGAAGCTTTGCTTCCGCCTAGCTTCCTGCCCGCCCCAACACTAACCCACTCAGTCTTACGTCTGCTCAGACGTGTACGTGATTAGAAAATAAAAAAAGGAATAAACTACCTATTGGCACAGAAGGTCAAGCTACAGAGCCCAGAAGTAATACTTAGTAACAGTGAGCCTAGGTTTCCCCACAGGTAAAAGAGGGATAGCATATCTCCCTCATAGGGTAATTATAAGGTGTAAATAAGATAAAAAGCATAGAACCTGGAGCCTAGCACGCAGTAGGTGCACAACGATCGGTCTCATCCCAAACCTGCTTTTATTATCTATGACTGGCTCCCCCAGCTTCTAGTCACCAGTGCCCTTCCCATCCTTTCCCCTCCTGCTGCTCCCCTCCAGCTATATGATCCAGATACTTCTACTTCTTTGGCATGTCCAAAGCATCGGGGGAAAAAACTGACGATGTCTGTCTGTAAGTTTTAAATTCATTGCTATCCTGCTAATTCACAAACACTTGTATACTCTTTAGCAAATACAAAACTTATCTAGGTAAAATCATGATTTTTCTACAGGATGATTTTTAAGAGTAATGTACTCAGTTCCTGAATATTGTAAAATTGAGGGCAAAAACCTCTTACTCTAAATTTTCTTGAAAGCTTAATATTAATAATTTAGAAAACAGGATTGGAGGGTGTTCTCTTCAGCAATGACACTCATAAAGAGTTACTTTATGAATAACACATCATGGGGATGGTTAGCTGATCCATGGTTGACTATTTACATATGTATTTTAAAACTAAAGCCCCCTTTGACTTTAACAGTAAATACGCTAGCAGCATCTAGGGTAATCCTTTAGGCCAAAGAATTCTTAAAAGTGGGTTTCATAGCAACACAGGCTTTGGATCTCATCACTAAAAATTAAAGAATAACATGAACATTAGTTCTCCCCAATAAAGTATTTTAGACAGATACATATATTTATAGAAACAGAGATAAATAAAAGCTAACCATAATTTAGGCTTCATTCCCCTACTAAAACTGCTTAGCTTATATTAAACTGCTATTTCTTTGTTTCACCTACCATTCCCGGGCGAGCTTCTTATAAGCCTTTTTAATATCAGCCTGACTGGCTGTTCGGCTGACCCCTAGGACTCTGTATGGGTCAAAATCCAACGCAGACAGAATTTGCAGGATCAGAACCAGAACTATCAAGAACTGCCAGGAAATGCTCAACTTTTTCACTTCCATTTCTCTTCCTTTCCAGAGCTGAAATGATCGAAGAGGCAGTAAGTTTCAGTGGTAGAAACCTGGAGAGTCTTGCTTTTTAGATAAAGGGATAAGATATATAGATGAAAAATAAAACAGACAAACTCTATTTGGCAGGAAAAGTGTCAATCTGTTTGACCAGGTCTTTTAAAATCAACAATCTTGCTACTATTTTTGAATATATCATACATAAGAACTATAATAGATGAAAAGATGAGCAGTAAGAATTAACAGCAACTTTCCAGACTCCTTGGATTAGAAAAGCTCTAGAAATGACTGAAAATGAATGAGATGAAGAAATAATAAGCAAATGTGGGAAAACATACATAGGAAAATCAAGGCAACTACATCTTAAATACACTGTTTTACTTATTCTGACAATAATACTTTAAATTTAAAAATACGTGGCTTAAGAACACTTCACTGAGTACAGGCTAAATAAATTCATGAGACTGTAAGATTTGCCAGGTGCAAAACTATGAAATTCAATAGCTGTGACATTCTTGGGGTTAAATAAGTACAAGTAGGAAAGTGATATACTCTAAAAAAACAAAAACGGTTATGACATTGTGTACCCCAATTCTATTCTCACCACACCCACTGGACCAAGAAAATAGGGACGATGCTCTTTAACCATGAGCAATATGGTTATTATAAATGGAGACCAAAGATGAGGAAAAACTGGGGAGAAAAAATTTAGTTTTCCACGTGAAGGGAGATTAACGGCAAAGGCTGTGGACCAGGCAGGGTCTTCAAATGTTAAAGATCCATGTCTGGTGAGTGCAGTAACTGAATTCACTGTGGGTTCAGAAATAATCCTGGTTGGTTAATGAACAAGGTAGTGCTGTATTGCACGGACCTTTACAGTACAGAATTATGACCTTTGTGCTAACATACGGTGAATTTTCAAGGGTCATTATTTATCTTGACTTTTCATGAATTACTAAAGTTTTAAGGTTCAAGCGTCTAATGCGACACCTTACTTAAGGAAGGCAAAGCTGTAACAGCGGTGGATTTTGACAAGCGGAAGTCTAAACAGTGCGTGGGAGTGCTCACGAAATTGACTCATTTGATTTCCAATTTTTAGGACTGCATGCATGCTGAACAAAAATCCTAAAACAATTCAGTTTCTTCCTTGTTAAGGCAACCTATAACCTATTCTGCCCTATAAAACACGTACAGAGCGCTAAAACTCGGGAAGGTGAGGTAGCTACTGGTTAAGCACACAGGCTCTGGAAACAGAGTCATATTGGGATCTGCCCTCCACCACTTTATGACCTTGGGCAAGTTAACTTAAACTTGCCAAGCCTCAGTGTCATTCATAAATGGAGGTGAATAATACCACCTTGAAAGGATCAGCAAGGAAGTTAAATGTATGTAAAGGATTTGCTGAACATAGGGTCAACAGTCAGAAAGTGATACTTATTATTTTTTCTATCACGCAGTGCAATCGCTGCCTTATTCCACCGTGTCAGTCGCCTCCAGTGAGCAGCCAAGAGGCGGGGGGGCTGTGAAGTTCTTTGGCTGGCAGTCTCGAGCTCGACTGTGCCAGCCTCGGGGCAGGAAACCACCTGCCCAACAGGTAGGCTACCGCCCGCGGGCAGTATCCCCTGGTCAGAGCAGCGGCTCCAGGAGGCACGCTCCAGGTCTGAGCTCCCGCCGGAGGTCGCAACCCTCCAAGAGACGGCCGCCTTCCCCGCCGCCCACCGAGAGCCCTGCGCCGGGCCCTGCCGGCTCCCGGTTTTCCCCGGGCCCGGGGGAACCGAGAACGAGGAGGAACTGACGGGAGATCCCCGAGCCTGCCCGGCCCCGCCGCGTCCGCGGCTCCGCGCGTCACGCCGGGAAGGAGTTACCGGGAAAGGGCACCGGCCCAACCGGCTGCAGCGTCCGTGCTCCAGTTAGTCCGCCGGGCCGGAAGCCTCCGCTCCGCACCAGCGCTAGCCTGGACCTCGGGAGGGGAGAGGGGCGGGGACGAACGGGAGAGGTCACGTGACACTTAAAGGCTCGGCTCACCGAAGGCGCGGACTGAACGGGTCGAGGACTTCTACTTTGCGAATCTGTTTTGACCCTTGCTACCTGCCGTCTGCGCGTGGACCTGGCGCGGTTGCCATAGGAACGAGGCGCGCTCTTTGGCTGGATCCAAAGGGATGATCGTGACCAAAGAGGCCAAAACGTGCCTCCTAGAGAGGCAAAGTCGCGATGCATGATGGGATGCCCCAAAGACACTCGCGATTCAGGGAGGAGTTTCCACTCGTACCAGGAGATGGCCCTCGTCTAGTAACAGTTGCTAGGGTGGGGAAGCAATCGCTGGTCCCTGTTTTCTTTAACCCTATTCATAGAATCCTAGAGCGTCGGAGTTGGACGGGACCTTAGGGAGCCTTTCTAGTCCGACTGCTCCTTATACCGATGGCGAGACTGAGGCCCAGAGAGGGGCAGGGACTTGCCCAAGGCCCAGAGAATCCAGGACTCCTAAACTTATTTACCAAAGCGAGCTCCGCCATAGAATGTGCCAGGGACTGCCCTCAGCACGGGAAAGGGATGCGTGTGTGTGGCGGGGAGGGAGGGGGAAAGTCACAGGTGAATGAGTTAAACTTCCATTGAGCCAATGATATAGGTTCCTTGGGGATATAAAGAAAGAGATTTCATATCCCCCCCGCTCTGTTTTTATTATTTTAAAAAAATTTCCTTTGCGTTTATCACCAACACACTGTATCCTTTATTTCTTTATATTGTTCATCGTCTGTCTCCTCCCACTGGAATGTAAGCTTCTAAGCGCAGGGCCTTCTGTTTTGTTCACCTGGATCTTCTCGGACCTCAGCACAGACAGGATCTTAATAAATATTTGTGGAATAAATGAATGAATGGGGCTGAGGTTTTGATGCTCAGGAGAATGGATTCTAAGGTGGACTTGAGTCAGGTTCCGGTTTAAATTTTGGCTGCCTTGTGCCACTTACTACCTCTGGGACCTTGAACGGAGACCACTTCCTTGAGCCCCATCTGCAAGATGGGGGAAAAGAACACTTTTTGGTATTCCTTTGGTAGGACTGTAGTCAAGGACAAGTGAGATAACGCAATGTAAAGTGACTAGCTCAATGGCTGAGGCTTAGCAAATGCTCAATAAACAGGAGCAATTATTTTTGAAATGTGGAAGTGAGCTGTACAAATTGGGAGTTCAGATTAGATTTCTGCCAGTTTTTTTTTTTTTCTTCCTTGTAGGAGGTGCTAGGGTGGGAGGGAGGGAAGAGGGAGATTTAAGACCGTGAAATGTGGGCTTGGTTGGGTGAGACAGGAGAGTTCGGAACAGTAAACGACGACATCTGGGCACGGGGCGGGGGCAAGAGAATTACGGTTTTATTACCGGCGGGGAGGGGGCTGGAGGACACCATAGCCGGGAGGGGCTTGAGTGGGGCGGGGCAGACCATGGCATGGGTGTCCCTCTTACCAGCAGTGTGACCGCCTCCGAGTTTTTGTAAAAGCCGAGGGGCCGTGCCTTCTTGCTAGAGATTGGCGGCGCGGACTAGGAGTGCGCTCTGGGGGAGGGGCGGTGACTCGGAGTGAGCCCTGGGGGCGGAGCAGCGACGCGGGGGTGTGTCCTGGGGGCGGGGCGGCGACGCGGGGTGTGTCCCGGGGGCGGGGCGCGGAGGCAGAGCCGCTAGGGCGGAGGTGGTGCGGTGGCGGGGCCTGGGGGCGGGACCCGGGGGGCCGAGGGGCGATGCGGGGGCGGGGCTCAACGCGGTGGCGGGTCCCGAGGCGGGTCCTGGGCGGCGGGCGGGGCGCCGCGGCCGAGGCCCGGAAGCGGTCCGAGGCCGCCCGGTCCTCGTCGTCTGGCCGCCATGGACGAGGCAGACCGGCAGCTCCTGCGGCGATGCCGGGTGCGGCTGGTCCGCGAGCTGCAGGTGGCCTCGCTCTGGGACGTTCTGCTGTCCCGCCAGCTCTTCACGCCCGCCATGATCGAGGACATTCAGGTGCGCCCCAGCTGGGGTCAGCGAGGCCGCGCGGAGAGGGTTGCTGAAGCCACAGCATGACTTAAAGGCCGAGCTCCCGCTCTCCACTCCTGGTCTGTGCCCCCGGTACTCATCCCTTTTGGGGAACCATCGTGTGGGAACCCCCTTTTCCCTCACGGCGTTGAGCCCGCTAGATCGTCCAGCGGAACCGTGCGATCCCGAACACCTCTTCCAGGGTTGGCTAGAGCGATTCCACGCCCTGCACCACCAGCATGCACTGTTGGCTGCTGCAGCGCTGTTTCTGCCCGGGAACGAGGCCTGTGTCCGGCCTTCTAGCGTGGGAGGTTCAGGGCACTCAGCTGGAGGGGGTGGGTCACACCGCCTGGCTCCGTGTCCCCCGCTAAGTCACTGATCGTCTTTGAGCCTTGGTTTCCTGGACTGTGAACTGGGGACAACAGTAGTAGCGTGAGAACCAAATGAGCTAATGGATGTGAAACTGTAAGGTCAGAGTCCGGGCCTAGCTGGCTGTGCCCTGCCCACTCTGTCCAGCCCCTCCTGTGCTAAGTTTATGTTTTCCTAAGGGGTTTTGGAGATGAGGGGCCTGATGCAGGTAATGGAGAAAATAAACATGTGAGGTTCTCTTTAAAAGCAGTTTCATGTCTTACTTGGCTCTCACCACAGGCCACTGAGGTTAGGAGGGGTCTAGGAGGTATTTCCTACCAGGAGGTGTGTTTGGCTTTCAGGAGGCCTCTGGCCACTGCCCTGGGGACTGCTTGCAGACCGAGTGTCCGTTTTCTCCATCATCCAGGAGCTTGGCCTGACCTAGTGAAGAAGTCTTTAATAGGATAAGGGTCATAATGAAAAATTACCAATGAATAATAATATTAAAAAAGTCTCATGAGCATCTGCTCTGTGGCCTGTACTGAGGAGTGGAAATTGTTTGAGGCCATATCCTTGCCTTCAGATACAAATTCAAATGCCACAGAGGCCCAATGGGTGGGCGCTGCGGTGGGCAGCCCCCCAGCTCCAGCTCATATGGTCATTCCAGCATGGTGGCCCTGTGTTGCCAGATTTTTAAAGAGAAGCTGAAAGTCCTGATTTTGATGTTAAATTCCCTGATTTTAAATGTTAGCAACAAATTCAGATTTTAAAAGAACGTCACACAAACGACAAGGCCGCCATTTTGCCACACCTGGTTTGGCTGAGCCACATGGATCTGGGTCCTCATCCTGGCTTTGTTACATATTAGCAAGTTGTAGTGCCTTTCTGGGACTCAGTTTCCCTCATCTGTAAAGTGGGGATAATTGTAATTTAACCCCTTAAGGTTGTTGAGGGGGACTAGATGAAATGATGCATTTAACACAGTGTCTGTCTTACTGTGAGTGTTCCATAAATGTTGAGAGAAAGGCCCGTAGCTAGTTGTTTTCTTAGTGAGGTCTTTTCAGTGACATTGTAGGTCTGTGCTGTTCAGTATAGTAGCATTAGCCACATGTGGCTATTTAAGTGTAAATCTGAAGTAATTAATATTAAACAAAATAGAAAATTCGGTTCCTCAGTTGTAGGACCCCAGTGCTCAGTAGCCATGTTGGTTAATGCCTGCCATCTTGGTCAGCGCAGGTGAAGAATATTTCCACCATCGTAGAAAGTTCCCTTGGACAGTGCTGCTATAGGATATTTGAGGCCAGGGTGGTGTCTTATCCCTGTGGATCCTAAGGAACTTGGCCAGAGCTGGGTCTGAAAGGATGAGCAGATAAACAGTTTCTTCCTTTTCCCTGTGTCAGTGACCAGCCCCACCATCCTGACACCTGTTAACCTCAGCCATTCCTGCACTTTACAGTCCACCTGATGAGTGCCCAAATCCTGTGCATTCTCCTTCTTGATTTTTTCTGGTGTGTTCACTCACTTCTCCATTCCTGCTGCACTGTCTTTGCCACCACCTGATCTGGCTGTGGCTCACTCCCTTCTGTTGTCCACCCTGCCCCTAGGATGATTTTTCTAAAAGGCAGATATGACTCTGTCTCTTTCCTAAAACTCCTCAGTAGCTGCTTACAGCTTTCTTGGCATGACCACACAAAGGTCTCATCCCTCACGACTGTTTCCCATTCCAGCTTACATTTCTCATTTCTCTGAATTCACTCTTCACTTCCTAATGTCCCTGGGGTCTCAGTAAAGACATCCCCTTCTGGAGGCCTCCCTGGCTTCCCAAGGCTGAGTTGGATTACCCTGGACCCTCCTAGGCCCATGTACTTTCCCACCTGACACTTCTGTGTTTGGTGTGTCACTGTTGATTTGTCTGTTTGCAACCCTCACTAGATGTCTGCTTCTTGAGGACTAATAATGTTCACTGCGGTATTTTCAGCACTTAGCAATGCTGGGCTCATAGGAGATGCCTCCAAAATAATGAATAGATAAGCAGGGTGCCTGGGTGGCTCAGTCGGTTAGGCGTCTGCCTTCAGCTCAGCTTGTGATCCCAGGGTCCTGGGATAGAGCCCCGCGTCGGGTTCCTTGCTCGCTGGGGAGCCTGCTTCTCCCTCTCCCTCTGCCTGCTGCTCCCCCTGCTTGTGTTCTCTGTCTCTCAAATAAATAAATAAAATCTTTAAAAAAAATAGATAAGTGAAGGCTGGCAAGTGGCACACACTCAGTGTAACTGCAGGCTCAAATTTTGCCCATGTGACCGATTGTTTAGACTTAGGCTAGATGGGAAATGGGGGTTACAAAATGAGAGTCACAGGACATTGTGTGGATAACACTGCCATGTCTTTCTTTCCAAACAGCATGCAGGCTCGGGATCTCGGAGCGATCAGGTCAGGCAGCTGGTCATAGATCTAGAGACCCGAGGGAGTCAGGCCCTTCCTTTGTTCATCTCCTGCTTAGAGGACACAGACCAGGACGTGCTGGCTTCATTCCTGAGAATGAGTCGGCAAGAAGAAAAGCAGAATCCAGAGGCTGTCAGACCCCTGAACCTCAGGCCTGTGGTGCTTGGACCAATGGGCCTCACACCAGAGGATCTCAGAGAGAAGACGGGTCCATTAAAGTCGACTCCGAGAAAACTCGCTCCAGTGGTGCTGGGGCCTGAGCAGCTCTGGCCAGCCAAGCTCAGGCCAGAGGTTCTCAGACCAGAGGTGCCCAGGCCAGTGGACAATTGTTCTGATGTCTGTGAGTACCAAGAGAGTGGTTGGTGGGTAGTTGGACCTATGAGGTTAATGACCTTGGATGTCCAGATCTCTCCCCAGGTGTGGGAAGTTCTCAGCCATTATTTTTCTAAATAAGCCTGCTGCCCCTTTCTCCCTCTCTTCCTTCTTTTGGGACCCCAATAACGCATAGATGTTTCTTTTCAGGATAACCCATAGTTCATGTAGGCTTTCTTCATCTTTGATCTTTTCTCTTTTTTCTCTGCTGATAATTTCAAATGACTTGTCTTCTACTTCACAGATTCTTTCTTCTGCGTGATTGAGTCTGATGTTGATGCTGTCTGTTGCATTTTTAATTTCATTCATGGCATCCTTCAGCTCCAGAATTTCTGTTTGGTTCTTTTTTATGATTTCTATCTCTTGTTCACGTGTTGTTTTCCTGATGTTGTTGAACTGTCTTTGTGTATACTCTTGTAGCTTACTGAGCTTCCTTGAGACAGCAGTTTTGAATTCTTTATCTGACACATTGCAGGTTTTATTTCTCAGGGGTCAGTTTCTGGAAAATTATTTTGCTCCTTTGGTGGTGTCTATTTCCTTGATTTCTCATGTTTCTTGAAGTCATGTGTTGGCTTTGCATTTGAAGGAGGAGTTACCTCCTCCAGTCCTTACTGACTGGCTTCTTCAGTGCATCTAATTTTGGATTACTTTGCACCAGCGGTGTTTTGGAACTCCTCTGCTCGATTCCTGGACTTCCACAAAGGCAGTCTAATTTGTGGATGATTGCCAAATGGGTGTTCATTGTCGGGGAAGGCGGTAGAAAACTCTTAATTGTGCTACTTTGATGATGTCCCTCTCTCACTTTGTGGATCGATACTACTAATTTGGGGAATGAAAGAATTCTTCAGTTGTGGATAATAGTTGTATTGTTGGGGTGCAGTGGGATTTTGGAAATGAGCAATAGTTCCAGATTTGAGGCTGTGAATTACAGGATTCTTCAGGCAGGTAAAACCATTTCCGATTAAAAAATGGGATGTGAGGGGTGCCTGGGTGGCTCAGTCGTTAAGTGTCTGCCTTCGGCTCAGGTCATGATCCCAGGGTCCTGGGATCGAGCCCTGCATCGGGCTCCCTGCTCCACGGGAAGCCTGCTTCTCCCTCTCCCACTCCCCCTGCTTGTGTTCCCTCTCTCGCTGTGTCTCTCTCTGACAAATAAATAAATAAAATCTTAAAAAAAAAAAAAGTTACTTAAAAAGAAAAAAGGGATGTGAATGCTTTTCTGGCATGGCTTTAAAACTCTTGAGAGAATAGTTCCCAGCAAGGGGTCCCGGCCCTCTGTGAGCAATGAATGGCATCATTGTGGGATCAGGAGAATAGGCTCCAGTGCAGTTCACCTTACATTGCAACTCAGAGAGAGCCACCAAGTTCTCTTTGTTTAAGAAGAAAAAAGGTCTTCCTACTTTATAGGCTGGTGGTCAGTGGACTTCTTGCTAATCACAATGAAAACTCATTTGACACTGAAGGAAAAACGATCACCTTTACTCATTTATTCATTCTGCATATATTTGCTGAGGACTTTCTGGGTGCTGGGCTCCACGGATTCTACAGACAGGAAGCGTCCACTCTCCTAGAGCTTCCCTTATGCCTTTCTGTTTTAGAATTTCATATGAATGGAATCATGTCACGTATACTCTTCTTGCTTCTTTTCCTTGGCATAAAGTTTTGTTTTATCCGCAGTGTTGTACATTTTCAGGCTGTGGACTGTTCCCTTGTATGGCTTTTTCCATAAATTGTTTATCCATCAACTTGTTGATGAACATTTGGGTTGTTTCTGGTTCCTGGCATTAAGAATAAGGCTTCAGTGGGGTACGTGCGTGGCTCAGTTGGTTAAGCATCTGACTTCATTTCAGGTCATGATCTTGGGGTCCTGGGATCGAGGCCTGCATTGGGCTCTGTGCTCGGCAGGGAGTCTGCTCCTCCCTCTCCCTCTCCCACTGTTCCTCCTCCCTGCTTGTGCATGCATGTGCTTGCTCTCTCTCAGATAAATAAATAAAATCTTTAAGGAAAAAAAAAGAATAAGGCTTCAGTGATCATTCATGGCTAGGTTTTTTTTGTGCTCACTGCACTCATTTCTCTTGGGTCTATACCCTGGAATGGAAATGCTGGTCAGAGGGTAGGTGTGTGCTTAACCTCACTGGAGACTCCTGAGCTGTTCTGCAAGGTGGCTGTGCCCCTAATCTCCCACCAGCACCCCCTAATGTTTCCCGAATTCTTGCTCTTCTGTATTCAAAGACCCTTTTCCCACCCCTGTTGGGCCAGGTGTTCACGTCTTGTCTCTCTTTCTATCTCTCTGTTTCTCCAGGTGCTCAAGAGATTTCCAAGCAAAATCCTGATTTGGTGAGTCTTCCTGTGACTTGGGGCCAGCTGCCTTGGCTTTGGGCTCTTCTGCTCTGTACGTCCCAGGTCCTTCCCTCTGCAGCTGTGTCGGGAGCCCAGGGTACTAAGCCCAGCTCTTGGGAGGGTCCCAGGCCCCGTACCGCTCCCTGATGCTGACACAGCTCTTCCTGGAGCAGGCTGTCCGAGCCTCCCTGCTCTTCCCTTGTCTGTGAAGTCAGGGGGTCAGACCTCACAGGAGGGGGTCAGACCATCAGCATCGGCTGTGGGATTGAATCACTCCCACTCGTGTGTGGGGGTCTGGGCTCCATGCCGGGATACCGGGGAGCAGACCCCTTGTGTTTCTAGCCCCTGTGGAGCCATCAGAAGCTAGTTACACAGAAACATATCTCAGTCTCAGTCTCAGTCGTGTTAAGTACTGTGGCAAAAAGAACAGGCTGCTGTGAGAGGGGATTCCAGGGGACACGGGGCCCAGGGGCTCGCCTTCTCTCCAGAGGGGTGCCGTGAGACCCCAGCTGACACTGGTCCTTGTGCTTGGGCAGGCCTACGCCCTGAACGCAGACCCCTGCGGCCACTGCCTCATCATCAACAACGTGAACTTCTGCCTCGAGTCGAGGCTCACGGCCCGCACCGGCTCCAATATCGACTGTGAAAAGCTGCAGCGACGCTTCCGCTTGCTGCATTTCACGGTGGAGGTGAAGTGCGACCTGATGGCCAAGGTAGGGTCGCTGTCCATGGAGAGGTGGGGGAGGGGCGGGGCGGCATCCTGCCGTACCCGAGCACAGCACCTGGTGTCCAAGAACGGTGGCTCTCGTGACTGTCGGGATGGTCATTACTGCAGTGTTGGCCCCGGGAGCAGGGAAGGTGCTCTGCCCAGGCGGGCCCAGCGTGGGGACCGGATCCATCAGTGCTCCAGCTCATCTGCCACCTTCTCTCGCAGCAAATGGTCCAGGCTTTGGTGGAGCTGGCGCGGCGGGACCACAGCGGCCTGGACTGCTGCGTGGTGGTTGTCCTCTCTCACGGCTGTCAGGTAGACGCTCCTTGGGTAGCTGCCCCCAAGTGCTGAGCTGAGAGGCCCTGACGGAGCCCCGTCCCTTCCTGTGTCCTGGCCTTGTGGGGAGAGCTGTGGGGCCCTGTCTATCCCCTGTTGTCTTCCTGGGAGCCAGCCGGCCCTCTGAGGAGTTGGATGCTCCTCCTGGGTGGGGCTGTGTTCCCAGGAGAAGCCATCTGGGAAAGGCAGGGAGGAGATTCTGCCCACAGAGCTCCTACCCTGGATTTTATTCAGAGCCGGGCACAGCACACAGGAGCTCCCAGCTCCTGCCTCCATCCCGCTAGGCATCGTCCCAGGCCCTTTGCCGTTGCCTGGGTGTCAGGACACTGGGATCCACTCTAGGCATGGCCACTAACGTGCTGCGTCATTGTGGCCCAGCCTGTCCCACTGCCTGGGCCTCAGGTCCCCGAACTTTTCATGTGAGGGTTGGACAGGTCAGAGGCTCCAAGCTGGAGGCCTGTAGTCCCCCTGGGGGTTGCACAGTGTTTTCAAAAGTGGCAACTTTCTCAGAGAAATCAGGATTTCCCGCTTCTCTTGAAAAACCACAACGGTCTGGCCTTACTAGGCCACATCCTCACAGAGTGAAACTCTGGCCTGTAGCTGGGCAGGGACTGCCCCCTTTTCATTCATGGTGTGACCCCTGGACCCAGCAGTACAGGCTTCACCAGGATCTCGTGAGAAATTCAGACTCTCAGGCCTTGCCCCAGACCTCTTCACGGGGAGCCTCTGCTTTGATAGGGTCGCCGTACGCAGAAAGTCTGAGAAGAACTGATCTAGAGCAGTGGTTCTCAATGCTTAGCTGCATCAGAGGCTCCTGAAAGACCGTATCGCTGGGCCCCACCACCAGGGTTTTGAGTTAGGTCTGGCAGGAGCCCAGGAATCAGCATGCCTTACAGGTTCCCAGGTGATGCAGATGCCACTGGTCCAGGGACCACACTTTGAGAACCACCAGTCTAGAAGAAGCTGGTCAGCGCTCTCCAGTTAGGCTAATGTTTTAGGCACATGAGTCTGAGACCTCTGGAATAGAGACTGCCTAGGACCCATCCAGGACCCATCTGTCTAAGTCAGGCTTGTGCCCCTGGCTGGGACCTTCTAAACGCTTGGCCCCACAACGCCTCTGAACAGTGTGTTGGATTCCTACCCCAGCTTCTTGGTTTTGTAACCAGGATTTTTGGTCTCCTAGGCCAGCCACCGCCAGTTCCCAGGGGCGGTTTATGGCACGGATGGATGTCTTGTGTCCATCGAGAAAATTGTGAACATCTTCAATGGAGCCAGCTGCCCCAGCTTGGGAGGGAAGCCCAAGCTCTTCTTCATCCAGGCCTGTGGTGGGGGTAAGCAGGTCCTCAGTCTCCCTGCCGATGACTCTAGTGGGAGGAGCCGCCCCTGCCTCCTCCTCTCTCCAGTCCCTCCTGATGCCCAAGGGGCAGTCAGAGGGTCCTAAACATGGCCCCTTTGCCCAAACGGCAGCACCTGCCTCTGCCTCGAGTAGGTCTCAGCTTTGTCCAGCCTGTAGAGGTTGGAGCCTTACAGCTCACGGTGCAGGAGCCTCTGGGGCTCATTCAGCTCTGGCAGCTTCAACTCCAGAGACTTGGCAATCACAAAGCAGAGGAGAGGAAAAAAACCTCTTTCATTTTCCTTATCACTCCCCCGACCTCCGTCAACTAGACCTTCTTTCTGCTGTCGCAGAGAAAGGGAGGCCAGAGCTAAATTAAATTCCCAAGGGCCCAGATACTGGAGATTTCAGTAATATTATGTGTGTGTATATATACATAAACATATATATGTATATATATGTATACACACACACAAAATATATATATATATTTTTTTGTTTGTTTGTTTTAAGAGAGAGAGAGAACACGAGCAGGGGAGTGGGGAGGGACAGAGGGAGAGGGAGAGGGAGAGAGAATCCCAAGCAGATTCCATGCTGAGTGCAGAGCCTGATGCAGGGCTCATTCCCAGGGCCCTGAGATCATAACCTGTAGCGTATACTTTTTTTTTTTTTAAGATTTATTTATATATTTTAGAGCAAGAGCGTGGAGGTGGTGGGGAGGGACAGAGAGAGAGGGAGACAAGCAGACTCCCTGCTGAGCGGGTGCGGGGGGTGGAGCCCGATGCGGGGCTCGATCCCGGGACCCTGAGATCATGACCTAAGCTGAAACCAAGAGTTGAATGCTTAACCGGCTGAGCCACCCAGGTGCCCCAGCAGCATATTTTTCTGAATGTGTTCATTTGTCCCATACTATTCCACGTTGGCGGGGGTAAGGTGAGGGGGTGTGGGTTGTCTAGGAGAGCAGGCTCTGGTCACATGACATCTGGTAAGTGTTTATTGAGTATCTGCTGTAGATACCCAGCTGTGTGTTGGGTGCTGGGGATCCAGGATAGACAGGGTCTCTGCTCCCTGGAATTTATAATTTGATTGGAAATGTATCAAGTCACTGTCGTGAGCCATGCCCATAGCTTGGCCGTGAGTGACTGGGAATACCAGGTTTAATCTTGGTGGCTACTTATTTCCTGTACAAAAATGGGCCAGTTAATCTCTAGAAGTCTTGGCCAGTGGGGATAATAACAGAACCTACCTCCTAGCATCGCTATCAAATATCTAGTGCATGAATCAGTGCATGTACAGTACTTAACACAGTGCCCGGTTCATTTTTGTAGCTGCAGACTTGGACTCTCCCTGTCCCTCTGACCCCAGAAGACCCCGTGTTGCATAGGAACCCTCTGTCCCCCTGTCCCCAGCACAGTTACCTCAGAGTTATGGTAAGAGGAAGGTGGAAAGGCTGCTACTCTTGGGGTCGTAGAAATCCTCTCCAACTCATCGTTTTTCTTATGATCCCAAATGTAGTCAGGTGATGTTCTTACTCTGAAGCAAATGGTTCTTCTTTCTTGTATGAGGAGAATGAAAGATGAAGTGGGCAAGGGAACCATGGATGGAGGCTGAGCTGGGATGCTGGCTTTCTGGGAAAGTTATGGTTAGCTGGTCTTCAGGCTCAGTGCCTCCTCATTGTCCATTCTCAGCAGCATGGAGGGTCTTTGCAGGGTCACTCTCTGGACCCCTTAGCGAACCCACAAGGTCTCCTGCAGCCTCTGTTCTTCCCTCACAGCACTTTCTCCTTGTATTGAGATGGCCTCACCTCCTGCTCAGCTCTCCCAGGGCAGGGCCAGGCCCATCTGCCTTCAGCCAGGTCCCTTCAGCCTGGCACAAAGCTCACAGGATGGTTGTATCTTCTGTGGATTCTAATTATTTGATTTTGAAATAGAACCGTATAAAAATTACTGTGAGCAAAATTTTAAATAATATCGATTCCCTCCACTAAAAAATCCCCAACTCGATGGGAGCAGCAAGATTTCAGAGCTGGAATGCAGTGATTAGGATGCTGCCTTTGGAACTGTGGTCCCTGCTCTGTCCCCAGGCCACTGTTGACCTTGTGTGTAACGCCGTGGCCACATGGGGGCGGTACAGCGGCTGAGAACAGAAATGCTGACCTGCCCCGCAATCTGCGTCTGCGACCTGCGGGGCGTCCTCTTGTTTGCAGGCATCTGAACATCTGCCCTGGATTTTGGTGACTTTTGGGTTGCTTTTGCAAAATTCACTGTTGTTACAGTTTCAAACAGTTTTAAAATCCTTTGACAAGTCACGCACCCCTTCCAAGAGGTAGCGCCCGCCCCAGGGCAGAAACGTGCGCCTCAGAGTTGGTAGCGCTGGTGTGGCATGTGGGTGAGTAAGTAGCGTGATACGGCGTGACCCAGCCCGATGCACTTGGCCGGAGCCGAGCAGCCTCTGTGAGGCCCAGCTGTTCATTTTGGGGCAGGCCGTCTTCAGACTTCTAGAGCTCATGCTGAGAAGGCAGAAGGAAGCACAATGTGCCACGTGGTTGTGGATTTTCTGTGCTGAGGGGACAGCTCCTCCTCCTGCTGGGTGTTCATTCTTACGGGGAAATTAGTCTGCCTTACAGGGGGTTCGAGAATCTCCTTAAGAACACAGCTGTGCATAAGATACATAACCCGTGGGCGAGGCTTTCACCTCAGAGTTGTCGAATGAGGAGGACACGTGAATGGAGATGGAGTTCGCATCCCCTGTCTGCCTCTCTCTCTCTCTCTCTCTGTCTCTCTCGTATTCCCCTCTCGGATCCCCCTCTTGGATCCCACTGTGTCTTCTCCGCTTTCCCCAGGCGGTCCCTCTGCCCCCCTCTGTCTCCTTAGACCATTCCTGTGGCTTCCCCCACCACAGTGCCCCCGACCCCGGCCACCCACATCTCAGGTCCCGGCTCCTGTTCCACTTCAAGTCATTCCCAGACACCCAGGGCAGATTCCGGAATCTCAGCCAAGAAAACAACCAGAAGCAGGGACCTGAGTAAGCAGGGGAACAGCCCAGCTCTCACACGTCTCAGAAGCCCAGGCTTTGCAGGCTTGGGGGCCTCCATGGAAGAGGCAGCGGGGCTGAGAGGCAACACACAGAGGGCAGAATCCCGGCCCTTGAAGGTCAGCTGTGAGAACAAAGGCAAATTGCCCAGTTTCTGGGTCAGATGTATGGGGTGAGAGGTCAGTAGATGTTGGGGCTGTTATATGGGGTTGCCAGAACCATCCTTGTCCCGTCTCTGCCCCCTGCAGTTGGGACCCCAGCTTCCCTGGGTGAACTGTGACCTCCTTCCCTCCTTGCTGTTTCCCACCACAGATCCAGCCACGAAACCCGCCTCCTCTCCTGCCCAGGGTCTGCCTGACCTGCTGCTTCCCCCACCAGGACTCTTCCCTCTCCTATCAGAGCCTGGGTCACAGTCACCTGCCCCAGAAACCATTCCCTAAGGAACCCTCCGGGCCACTCTGTCTTCTGTCTGCTTTTTCTGAAGCTCTTTGTAGCTGCTTTCTGTCTGGAGTGGCCCATCGCACCCTGCAGTGATTCCCTGGAGCTCGTCTTGGGAGACCTCCTGCCATGTCATCACCCTGATGGCTCTGTGGCAGAGCTGTGGGTGGCCGGAGTCCTGCCCTGACCCCTCTGGTTTCCAGGTCTGCCACAGCTTTGGGGGGAATTCGGAATTTGAAACCGAAAAGACAGAAAATGTGAGTGCAGAAATCATCCAGGATCTTGCGAGCCTGACACAGCGGTCTCATTTCTGCCTCTTATCTGTGGATGGTGGCCCGCGGGCACAGTCTGCTTTTTCTCATCCTGTGTTAGCCCGTGAGCATTTCTTCACATTGCTGCAGTCCTCATCACCGCTAGTTCAGAGGGCTTTATAATGCTCCGTTTTAGTGATTGGCACTCACTAATCCATTTCCCTAACGTCCGCCATTGAGGTGATACCCAATTTTTGGCTCCCGTGACCACAAATGTCTTTGCATAGAGGGTGTTGACGTCACTTCTTGAATTAGTTCCTGGGGAAAGTACAGGGTCAGAGGGTATAAACATCTCCACAGATCCCATGACCTATGGTTTGCCGCCGCCTTTGATTCCCTACAAGGATCTGAGCTAGCTTTGCAAGTACGAGTAATATAGTAGAACAAAATAACGAGGGAGGCAGGGGAGATGCAAGGACAGAAGAGTACGACCCATTCAGCAGACATACGATGGACAGAGAGACGAGAGATGTCTGGAAGGAAAAACACCGATTGTTAATAGAGGCCGCCCCCCTGAGAACAAGATCGAATAATGCTACTTGTTTTTTAATGACATAAAGTTGATCATTTTAACCGTTTTAAAGTATACAGTTCAGTGGACATGAGTACATGAGTACATGTGCCCGTGACCTAATTCTAGAACTTTCTCATCGCCCCGAACAGAAGCTTCATACCCATCAGCACTCACTCTCCGTGCCTGCCTCCTCTCAGTCCCTGGCAATGACTCACCTGCTTTCTTCTCTGTGGTTCTGCCCATTCTGGGTCTTTCACGTACACGGAGCCAGAGACGTGGCCTTTGGCATCTGGTTCTTGCGCTCGGCATGTTTCCAGTGCCCGTCCACAGTGCACCAGGGGCCGGCGCTTCCTTCCTTTTCAAGCCAGAATGAAATTCCACTGGATGTGTGCAGCCCGTTGTTTATCCATTCGTCTGTCGTGGACGTGGGTTGTCTCCACCGTTTGTCTGTTGTGAATAATGCTGCTGTGAACATTGCTGTGCAAGGTTTTGTCTGAATACCCATTTTCGGTTCCCTTGAGTGTTACCTTGTAACTTGTTTTTACAGCTTTTTAAAAAAATTGTGATTAGGTATAATTTTACCTAATGTATGTGTAAATGTATGTGTAAAACTTTTGTTATAGTAAAAAGTAAAGGTTTGGGGACTCCTGGGTGGCTCAGTCGGTTAAGCATCCAACTCTGGATTTCGGCTCAGGTCGTGATCTCAGGGTCGTGGGTTTGAGCCCCGTGTTGGGCTTCATGCTCGGTGGAGAGTCTGCTTGAGATTCTCTCTCTCCCTCTCCCTCTGCCCCTTCCCTGCTCACACACGCATGCTCTCTCTCTCAAAAAAAAAAAAAGAAAGGCAAAGCTTCGGTTTCTGTTTCTTGCTGATATTTGCTCAGCCCCGGAACCCTGGCTCCAGAGGGAGTGCGGTGGTCTCAGGCTGGGACAGGCCGGACGTCACCAGGAAGTGAGGAACACGAGCTTTGGTCTGTGTGTGTCAGTGATGAGTGGTGTGTCTGTCTTTCGTCCCTGCAGAGCAGAAAGACCATGGGTTTGAGGTGGCCTGTGCTTCCCCTGAAGACAGGACCTCTGGCAGTGACCCGGAGTCAGACGCTGTCCTGTTCCAGGAAGGCCCAGGCTCCTTTGACCAGCCGGACGCCGTGTCTAGTTTGCCCACACCCAGTGACATCTTCGTGTCCTACTCCACCTTCCCAGGTGAGCGCATCAGGAGAGCTCCTCCTCCCAGCCGGCGGGTCCCCCCGCCCCAGTCTGCCCTAGAAGCAGCTGTGTTGTGAAGGAAAGGCGTGGGGGTGAGTCTCAGCTCTGCCTCTTGCCATCTGTGGGACCCTGAGCAAGTTACTTCGCCTCTCTGAGCCTCAGCTCGGGGCGAGGTAGGCGAGGCGCTTAGGATGCAGAATTTAAGGGGGCACCTGCTCTTGGGTTTGTATGCCTCACTTGCCTCACCCTTGTCTTGGTCCTGCCTCGGTCTTGTCATCTTTAAAATGGGAAGAGCAGTCCCACTTCAGGGGGCGCCCTGGGGGTTCGAGAAGTGGTTAGTGCCTCGCTGAGCACGGTGCCTGGCACGCAGCAGGTGTGATGAGCGTTAGTCTCCTTCCTTTCTTAGCCCTCCGTGACTTCTCAGAGCCTTGTTCTCCTTGCTGGGAAAGCAGGAATCACAACCAAAGGCCCAAGGTGGTGGGGAGGGTGAAGTAAGGTCCTGACCGGGACAGAGCGCAGGGATGTGGGCCGCTCCTGCTGGACGTGTGAATGGGCCCAAGTCCAGAGGCGGCTCCAGCCTGCACGTGGGGGTTGGCTAGCGGCTCTCCAATAAAGTTCAGCCTCTCTGCTTCTGCAGGCTTTGTTTCCTGGAGGGATACCAGGAGAGGCTCCTGGTACGTGGAGACCTTGGATGGGGTTTTTGAGCAGTGGGCTCACTCTGAAGACCTGCAGACCCTCCTGCTCAGGGTGAGCATGGCCTTCCTCTGGGGAAGGAGAGGGAAGGCTGCTGGGAGGGGCATGCGTCCTCCTCAGGAGAGGGCGGGAGGGGGGGCAGGGCCCCGGGCCCACACCAGAGGTTTCTTCTGCATCTTGGCTTGCCATGAGGTTGGTGCTTCTGCTTCTCTTAATTGCGAGGTGTTACTATTACATGACATTGGCCCGTTGTTCAAAGGGCTGCCTTCCCTGGCTCCTCTGACGTCCCAGGCTGACATTGGCATCCCCACTTGCAGAGCCAGTCCTCAGCGCAGGGCAGGATGGTACAGTGGCCAGAGCATGGCATTTCCTGAAGGCAGGTCGTGGGGCCTGCACCCTTCGCCCCACAATGTAGTCTTCTACCCTTGACCCTCAAGAATTATGATTTCTTCAGTATATGCCCTTCTCGGGGGACCCCAGTGAGAGAGCAGGAAGGATGGCCTGATAGGGTCCCAGCCTCTCTCCTTGGGATCCTGCTCAGAGCAGCTGCTTCCTCCATGGGTCTCAGAGCACACGTGGGCCTCTCCCGCTTGCTCAGGTGTTTTGTGTCATGAGAAGGGTCTGGAAGGGCTGGGACCATGCCTTCCTCCTGGAGAGGCTCTGGCTTTGTGCTTTGCGGTGCGGAGCGGAGGAGAAAGGAAAAGCAAGTACAGGACTTGAGGGGGCCCCATGCACTGTGGCTCTGGGCAGGTGACCTCAGAAGCAGCCGAGCCCTGCAGGGTCAGGCTGGGAGTCCGTCAGGGCCAAGCGGTGCACTTGGCTCCTGGACCTAATCTCTTCTCTCAGCATTTCTTTAAGCAAACCTCTCAATCTGATTTGAACTTTGTGAAGTTTTGAAGTTTGAAATTTTGAATTTTGAGTTTTCTAAACTTAAAATGGATATACTCTTCTTTCAACACCCTCCCTCCCAACTCAAGGAGGCTGCAGGTTTTTTAAATTGTTCTTAAGCTTTTATGTATGTATGTATGTATTTACTGAAGTATAGTTGTCATATGTAGTAATGTAATGTGAAGTTTCAGACATACAACACGGTGACTTGACAATTCTGACGTCACCACGATAAGTGTCGTTGCCATACAAAGTTATTACAGTATTATTGACTATATTCTCTATGCTGCACTTTTCATGCCCGGAAGTTTGTACCTTTTAATTCCCTTCTCCTACTTTGCCCATCCCCCCTCTGCCCTGCCCTGCAGCATTATTGACAACAGACAAGATTTGGAAGCAGCCTAAGCATCCGTCCATAGATGCATGGATAGAGAAGACATGGTCTAGATGCACAATGGAATATTACTCAGCCATAAAAAAGAATGAGATCTCCCCATTTGTGACAACATGGTTGGGGCTAGAGGGTATTATGCAGAGTGAAATAAGACAGAGAAAGACTAATGCTGTATGGGTTTCACTTATATGTGGAATTAATTGTTTTTAAAGATTTTATTTATTTATTTATTTATTTGAGAGAGAGAGAGAGAGAGAGAGAATGCACAAGCAGGGGGAGCGGCAGGCAGAGGGAGAGGGAGAAGCAGACTCCCTGCCAAGCGGGGAGCCCGATGTAGGGCTCGATCCCTGGACCCTGGGATCATGACCTGAGCCGAAGGCAGACACCCAACCGACTGAGCCACCCAGGTGTCCCTTATATGTGGAATCTAAAAGACAACCAACAGACAGAAACAGAGTCATAGACACAGAGTACAAGCCAGCGCTATGTCAGGGCTGGGTCAGTGGCCATTCCCGTGCAGCCCCTCCCTGGACCTCTGACTTCCATCGAGAGCCCTCACAGACTTCCCCGTGCTCATGTTTTCACAGGTCGCTAATGCTGTTTCGCAGAAAGGGATTTACAAACAGATTCCCGGTTGTTTCAATTTCCTCCGGAAAAAACTCTTTTTTAAAATGTGATGCGGGCCAGAGCCCCTCCGCCTCTCACCCTGCTTTACTGTTAACCCCAAAACCTTCCTGCTCCGGGCCCACGGCAGCCGAGGCCAGGTCTGTTCTATGGCTGTGGCTGTCGTTCTTTCAAGGGGTTTGTGGCCTCTCGTGGGTCTGCTCTTTCCCCACCAGTGCCAGACAGGCTCTTAGCAGCTTCCACGTTGGAGACAAATGACCTGCGAGAGGAAGAGGGGCAGAAGACTACCAAGGACACTGCAGGACTCTTCCCAGCAGCCCTTTCTCCAGCCAGTGGCTGGGGCCTGTGACCCCATGGTTGTCTCTACAGGAAGGCTTTTGACTTCAGTACTATTGACATTTGGGGCCAGATAATCCTTTGTTGTGGGGCCGTCCTGTGCGCTGTAAGATGTTGAGCAGCGTCCCTGGCCTCTGCCCATAGATGCCTGTACACCCCTCCCCGAGTAGTAACGACCAAAAATGTCTTCAGACACTGCCAGATGTCCCCCCAAGGGGCCCCACTTGAGAACCACTGATCCAAAGGAAGTTTTGGTTACAAACAAATCAGCGTCTCTCTTAGATCAGCAAGTATGGGGCTACTGGAGTCTGAACAGTTGGAGTCTGCAAATCCTAAGTGAAGTTTTAAAAGTTACCTATTTTTCTTATGTTCTAGTATGCTTAAAAAAATCTTAGGTGAATATGGACCCCCCCCCCTTTTTTTTTTTTGCCTATTCCCCCCTCACTTTGTTCCAACTGTTTGTTTTTCCTTATAAAGGAGATTTTTTGCTTTTTTTAATTTTAATTTTTTTTTTAAAGATTCATTTATCTGAGAGAGAGAGAGTGCACATAGAGAGGGGAGGGGCAGAGGGAGAGGGAGAGAAGGTCTCCAACAGACTCCATGCTGAGCTCAGAGCCCAATTCCAGGCTTGATCCCACGACCCTGAGATCACGACGTGAGCCGAAACCAGGAGTCAGATGCTCAACTGACTGCGCCATACAGGCGCCCCAGATTTTTGCTTTTTTAAAAACATTTCCCCGCCTCTTACTTTATTTGAACCCCACCCCATCCAGAAAGGTGACTGGGCTGGGAGCTGTGTCCTCAGGGCAGTGAAGTCACCGGTCTAAGGGAACGCAGGTAAGGCCCCATCCCTGAGGTCTTGTAAGCTCTCCTGACCCTGGCCAATTTGTAGCTTTCAGGGCCTTGGACATGAGGCTTATTTGTTAAGACTCACCAAGATGGGATTCATGAGGTTGTCACCTCATTATTATTTTCCTCCTGTGACCTTTCCAAGTCTGAACTAGTCCCCGGGACTACTGGTGGTTAGTAATTTGCAGTCACCTGCAGGACATATAAAAGAAAATAATCAGGTTGACCCAGCAGAGCAGAACTGCGCTTGGCAGTTTCCTGGCTTACTCCCTCCAGGCTCTGCGCTCGCTGCTCGTGTGAATCAGGTGGTCTTCGCTTGGGGGGCCCTAGTGACGTTCAGGAGAACGAGATGTTATCACAGCTCTTCATAGACCTGCTGGGGGTACTTAGCCTGAGGTTCTGTTTGGACTTCAGGGCAGCGGGCCTACGAACTCCTAAAAATCAGATGCTGAATGTATGGATGGTTTTTAGATGTCATTTGTTTCTCAAAGCGATCGAGAGCCCCGAAAGGGTTAAACCAGCGGTGCTGTTTGCAGGGCACTGTTCTGTGTTGCTTTTAGGGGCCGTTTAGCAGTATCTGTTGAACCTTTTACTGGGCCAACTCTGTCATTCAGTGATGCTGCTGGAGCTCCCCAGCGCAGATACTTGGCTCTTGTGCAAGAGTGTGTGTCCAAGGGGGTTCACTGCAGCAATGGGAGAGAGGACGATAGGGAACTGATGAAAGTGTCACTCGTTATGGTCATAATACGGAATATTACTGAGCTGTCCAAAAGGATGACCTGATACGTAAAATGTGATACGGTGTTAGGTGAAAAGACTCAGTTGCAGGACAGTATGAAGAGTGAAATGCTATTTTTGGTTAGAAGATATTCTATATTAATGTACAGAGAGAGATACTTGATATAGGCATATACATAAAGTCCGGAAGACCATCCACCCTGCTGTTAATGGTGATTATCTCTGGGAGGTGCGATTGGAGATGTAAAATGAGGGGGACTTTCCTTTTTTTTACTGGGTACACTCCTATATTCTTCTAATATTCTGACAAAGACAATGTATTACCTTCTCAAATAAAAATAAACATTCAGCTGCTGGATGCTGAAGATGCATGTGTTGCTGGCGTTCTGTGAACATGTGTTGAAAGGATGAATGCCCTTGGCCACCTGTCCCCCATCACCTCCCTGCTCATATGTTTCGTTGGCAGCTGCCTGACCTTGCCCCCCGCCCCCTCTCCCCCCGGGTCTGGGTTTGTGCGGGCGGGTGTCCACGGCTGGACACAGCACATCCCGGGCTGGGAGAACTGCGAGGTTTCAGCATCCTCTCTGCAGCTGCTGGGGCAGCCTCCACCAGACGACAGCTGCCTGCTCGGATGTGCCGTCCCAGAGCCCGTTACCGGGCACGTGTACTTGTCCCGGCTGCCGTCCCGTGAGCAGGGGCCTCTGCCCAGCTGCCGCACCAAGCTTGCCTTCCCCGTTGAGCCCCTCCAGCATCTGGCCATGCTTTCAGCTGTGACCTGCTCTGTGGTGCCTGTCTGTGGCTCGGAACAGCTAATGCTGGGACAAAAAAGGACAATTGCCCCGCCGGCCCCTGCTTTGGGTCCCCAAGGTGCTGCCAGGACCAGCTGCTCGGTGGTGACTCCTGCAGCAGCTGGGGCTGGGAAGGGCCCCAGGGTTTGGCTGGGGAAATGGCCCAAGCTAACCTTCCAGCCGCCAGTGGGTTGGATGGGCTCCTTTGAAATGTTGGTGGGAGCCTCCAGTCCTGCACTTGGATTTTCCTTTGCCCCAACGGAATCACGGCCCCCCCCCCATCGTCCCCCACCCCCGGCAAAGAGTTGCCCCCAGACAGACAAATGAACAAGGAGCCGGCACAACGATGAGACTCGGAGACAGCCACCTGCTCATTTTGGTGGTGCCCGTTTGACAGTATAGTTTCCCTCCTGCGACCGCATGCTCATGCTGTGGTTTCATACTGGAATTTTATTTTTTATTTTTAAAAATTTATTATTTTTATTTTTTTTTAAGATTTTATTTATTTGACAGGGACAGCGAGAGAGGGAACACAAGCAGGGGGAGTGGGAGAGGGAGAAGCAGGCTTCCCACGGAGCAGGGAGCCCGATGCGGGGCTCGATCCCAGGACCCCGGGATCATGACCTGAGCCGAAGTCAAGAGTCAGTTGCTTAACTGACTGAGCCACCCAGGCGCCCCTGACCGTTGGGGTTTATGTCAAAAGGAGACTCACACTCAGTGAGATCAGGTGGCTCATGAGATAGGTACGTTTTCAGGTTGGGAGTGGTGCATCTGATGAGGGCTCCGGGGGCCTTTGCGGAGGTCATAGAGTGAATGCTGTTTCAGATTCTGACCTTGGGCCATACAAAGGGACTTCTTTGCCTGATGTCATGTGGTCCTTATAACCCTCACTTCATCTTAGGGGCGACGACAACAGCAAACACATGGCAACTACTAGGTGCCAGGCACTGGTTTAAGTGCTTCCCGTGGATTGTCTCCTTCAATTCTCTTACATTCAGCTGGTGGATGCTGAAGATGCATGTGATGCAGCTGCTTTTATAGTCCCCATTTCACAGATGAGGAATCTGCAGTGTGGACAGAGGCTAAGTAACGTGCCCACAGTCACACAGCTAGGAAGCGGACGAGCTGGGGTTCGAACCCAGGCAGTTTGACTTCTTATCCGTCTGTGCTCTCCTGCCTCTCCCAGGCAGCCCCCACTTCTTCCAGATGCCCCTGGATGGTGAATGTCGAGAGAGCCCCTGACTAGACAGGGGTGACCTGGCCTCCTTCCCCTCCCGAGCCCTGGACTCCCGGGGCCCACTTAACTCTGCAGCCTTCCCCAGTCTGTGAGGTAGCAGGCGTGGTTGTTGGGTAGAAAACAGCCCAGCTGGCTCTTGCTGGTCAGGGTTGGCCAGTTTGAGCTGGGCAGTGTCGTTCCTGGGTTGGTAAAGAGGCAGAACACAAAGAGTTGACTGTTCCTGCCCCAGTTTTATTTCTGATCTAGCCCCAGCTGGCACCATCGAACCCTCTCCTCATCCAGGCTGATTTCGAATCTTCCTTCTGTTGGGGCTACAAGTGATTGGATCAAACCCCAGGACTGCATTTTGTCCCTGGTGGAGCTTGGAGCCCTGGATTTCTCCACGCCTTTTCATGGGACTGCTCAGAAGTGGGGGTCTGGACAACAGTCCCAGCGGACCCTCCTCCTGGCCCCCGTCGGTGAGGGAGGAAACCTTCCAGATGATGCAGCCCAGCCACCACCGTGTGTCTGTAACCTCACCAGAGACCTGGAGTGAGAACCGCCCAGTTGAGCCTACTCAGTTTTAAGTCATTAAGTTTTGGGGTGATTTGTTACCCAGCAATAGGTAACCAGGAGAGTGACATGGATGGATAGGACAGATAGGGACAGTCCTTAGTGCTGATGGGTTTCTCAGTTCTTTTTTTTTTTTTTTTTTAAGATTTTATTCATTTATTTGGGAGAGAGAGAGAGTGCATAAGCAGGGGGAGCAGCAGAGGGAGAGGGAAAAGCAGGCTCCCCACTGAGGAGGGAGCCCAACACAGGGCTCGATCCTGGGATAATGACCTGAGCCGAAGGCAGACACTTTACCGACTGAGCCACCGACGGGCTTCTCAGTTCTAATACACGTTCTCAGCCATCCCTCCCATAGTGTCACTTCATATAACCTCTATTCCCACTGGACTGCTCTGCTTGCTGCCCCAGGACCACTGCCCCTTCTGTGACCAGTCCTTTGTCTTGGTAGTCCTCCTGACCTGAAGAGCCCCCAGTCCACTGTCTGCCCCCCACCTCCTCCCCATCTCTCAAGGCCTTCCCTGACACACGCTGTGTCATTTCATAGCATTCCAATGTCTTGTCTGTGTGTGTCTCACCTACTTGACTAGTCCCCTTGAGGGCAGGGCCCGGCTCGTGCCTCGGGGACCTCCGTACCCTCTGTGAGCCATCATAAGCGCTGGATCACAATAGGCTGACTCAATGAAGGGACGCTGAGGGTTACGGCCACGGGGCGTCCTCCGGCTCTCTGTGGGTCTGCGATGAGGCGTCTTCTGGGAGACTGGGCAGAGTGAGCTCTCCCGGCAGTCATTCAGCAGCGGCCCCTTGGGCTGCAGAAGAGGCTGTGTGTGTGGATGAATCATGCAGATTTGAAGGGATGGCTGAAGGCCCTTCTGGAACTGCAGACCTGCTCTCTGGACAGGGAGAGCAGGGGTAACAGGCACCTCTGGGTTCCGGGAAGAGGATGTGGGGAAGCAGGGAAAAGGGAAGATCACTCTATGTCCATGATGTTAAAAGGTATTGAAGGCCTGCTGAGATCAGGCTCTCTGCTAGGTACATCACACCTCACTTAAGGCTCCTTTATATGTCTGTAACTTCGGGCAAGTTCTATAACTTCTCTAGGTCCCGGTTTCCTCGAGTGTGAAACGGGGATAAAAGTACCTCTGCCTAAGTGTGCTTGAGGAGTGAGTAAGCTGGTTTACTAGAACAGTGCCTGGCACAGGGGAAGCGCTGAGTGTTAGTTTGTATGATTGACAGAGAACTCACTTGGAAAGGCATCCCGGAGTGCAGGGTTTCTGGAGGGTTGCCAATCCCTCAACATTACCGTCTATCCCAGTGGAAGAGCCATTTGGCTGGGCACAGATGCGAGGGTCACAGGGACGTGGGAGTAGAAGGGGTATCCCCCTGAGCTGCAACGAGCTGCTCAGGTTTAGGGGTGGCCCTAAACTCACAGGGCTGGGGGTCTCACTCACTGTGTGTCTCACTCACTGCTGTTTCCCCGATGCCTAGAACAGGACCTGGCACATAGTAGGTGCTCAACTGGTGTTTGCAGAATGAAGGTGAGAATAAACCTATGGCTCTGCATTTTGTTTAGTGCCACCTGGATCTCAGGATTAGTGATCAGGAAGCCTGATGGTCCGGCAAATACCCCTGGCCCTACTATGTGCCCCTCCCCGGGTTGGGGGCTAGAGATTTGGGGGTGAATCAGGCACAGCGCAGTCCTTGCAGAGTCCTGGCTGCATCTCTAATGCGGCGAACCGTGTGCCTCGATGGGGCTTGTACCATGGCAGCGGGCAAGGGCAGGAGTGAGTGGTTGATTCTGCCCCAATTCTCTCCTTTCCCCCACTCCCTGGGGCCATTCCCCACTGTCTTGATGGCTCAGATGCACCCCCCAGTGCCGACACGCCTGTCCTGCACCAGCGCCCGCTCCCGGGCGGGGTTCTGTGACTCCCCAGGCCCCTTTCCATGTGCTTTATACGTGCACTACTCCGCCGAGCCTCACAACACCCCTGCTGTCGCCCTCGTTTTACGGAAGAGAAAACTGGGGCACGGAGTGGCGAGGAAGTCACGTGGGGCCACACAGTCATGATTCGCATCTAAGACACCAGGCTCCAGGAGCTCAGCCCCTAACCACGACCCCACACTGCCTCATGGCCACACTTACGTCCATGAGCTCCCCGTGGGCTGGCGGGGTGACCCGTGCATCTCTGCATGTCCAGCACCCAGCAAGACATACGGTCCATGGGGATGGTCAGCGAAGGTGCCAGGTGAGCACAGGATGCTATGTGCTTATCTCCAAGGAGAGGTGGATGGGGGCTCTCCTGTTTTCCCTGCGGGTCCGGGAATACTTGCTGGGAGACCTCCAAGGGCTCTCAAGATGTGGCCATCCTCCTGTGCACATGACCCCAGGATGTCCCATCCTCCTGTGCACATTACCCCAGGATGTCCCTGCAGGGTGTTGGGGAATCTCTGAAAGTGTAAAAGGTCTTGTTGGGAGGGGTCACAGGGTGGGCAAGGCAGGAGGGACTGTGTCCTCCTGCACCGACAGTTGTGGGGATTGCAGACCCATCCCTGTGTCCCCAGGTCTTGGTATGGAATAGATACAGGGTCAGTGAGTGCCTGGGGTGAGCAGGGGACCTGGAGGCTTAGCTGGCAGGAGGCTCAGGGGGCTCTGATGGTCTTTGCCTCTCTCTCTCCTGGTTCCCGCCCCCACTCCCACCCCAGGCAACTTTGAGGCAGGCTCTGCCTCCAAGGGGTCAGAGCTCCTTCTCCCTCCCTACAGAAGAAACAAAGGCGGGCAAGGGGTTGCACTCACTCTCTCCTTCAAGAAGCGCCCCCCACCCCCGCCCCGCCTCTCCTCCACATCTGTGCTCCTGCCAACCTAACGTGCAAGTGCACTCAGACGGAAAGGGAAGGTCCCCTTTGCAGAGCTGGTTGCAGTCCTCTGAATACTGCAAGCTTGGGGATCTTGATGCCAGCGAGCTGGGCTCATCAGTGGAGAGGCTTGCGCAGTGCCATGGGGTGGGGCCCGGAAGAGTTGGGAGAAAGGGGGCTGAGCCAGAGGGTGATCCTTCGCTCTCTCTGGCCCCTCATGGGCAGGGACGCTCCAGAGGCCTGGCTTTGGACAATGTTGGGATGGGCCCAAGTAAGCCTGGGAATTTTTCTTCCCCAGGGACAATCAGTTCCTTATAACATAATAACTCTACATAATAATTATAACCACATCATACTAACCATATGCTATAACAGAAAATAAAAGTTACAATAATATAAACTCTCTATTATTATGGGGAAATGAATTGGACATAAAGAAAATAGGAGTCATTTGCCCTCAGGGGCATTTTCTAATTGAATCTACCACCTCTCATTTTTAGGGGGGAAACTGAGTCTCAGAGAAGAGTAACTGATCCAGAGTCTCACAGCTAGTCAGTGAGAATCCCGAACTAGGAGTCAGGACTTCTGACTCCCGGCCTCTATTCTTTCCCCACCACCTCATAGAGCTCATAAATTAGGTGGGGAGAAAGGGCAACTCTGGCAGTGGAGGGGGTCCCACTGATGTAGATAAGCAGAGGTCATGGGGGGGGGAGGACAACAGGTGAACAATGAACATCATAGAGCCTTTTCTTTCCCTTGTGGGTCTTTTTTTCATTTCATTTTTTGTAGATTTTATTTATTTATTTTAGAGATTGGGAGAGAGAGAGAGTACAAGCGGGCGGAGGGAAAGGGACAAGCGGACTCTGGGCTGAGCGTGGAGCCTGATGTGGGGCTCGATCTCACAACCCTGAGATCACGACCTGAGCCGAAATCAAGAGTCAGATGCTTAACCGATTGAGCTACCCAGGCACCCCCCACCCCCACCCTTGTGGGTCTTTGTAATGGTGACTGCTCACTTTCACTGAGCCCTTACTAAGTGACAGGCCCTTTAATGCATCATCTCATTTAATCCACATTCAGTTGTCTGCTTTTTTTTTTTTTTTTTTTTTGGCCAGTGATGACACTGAAGCTTGAGGTCATTCAAATCGCTCATGGGAACCCAGTTCCAGATCCGGAGACCACATCTAGTACCCCCAAGAGGACAGGACATGGGTCTCCTCCTCCCCACAGTCCCCTCAGTGCTCTGGCCAGGTTCCAATTTGCAGAGATGCGTGCTGGCTGTCGGGGCGAGCAGGCCGGTGTCGGGAATAGCCGTCACCCAATGCGGCGGGCAGCTGTCAGGGCCCAGCTGTTGGTCGTCAGAGACCCTGGGCAGGTGCAGCCCTCCCACCGCTGAGCTGCAGGCGCTCTGGCAGCCCAGGGCAGGCCTCTCAGCTCATTGGAAAAGATATTATTTGTGGGCAACGAAGTGTGGCCAAAAGAGCGAGGATTGAACCAGATGTAAATCCCCACTTTCCCTCAGGCTAACTGGGTGATTTGGGGGCATTTATATAACCTTTCTGAGCCCTCATTACCTTATCTGGAGAATGGAGATCCTAATACCCACTGTTCAGGGCTCTCGGGATGATGAGTAATCAAAACTTCTGACATTTGAGCACTTACCATATACCAGACACTATTCTGAGCTCAGGATGTGGATCAGCTCACATCATCATCGCAACAATCCCATGAGGCACTATTATTGTTCCCATTTCACAGATGAGTAAACTAAGGCAGCCCACAAAAATTTGCGTGATATGGTCCTTGCCATAAAGGCTGTTAGATATTTTTAATATTAACCACTGAGAAAGTTAAATTGAGTTGCTCCTGGTCACGCAGCTGGTATGTGGCGGAGGAGGGATTTGAGCCCGGATCGTCTGGCTCTAGAAACGTAGTTTGGAAACTATACATCTTACTTTCGTTCTAAAGCACCTAGCACTTATTTTCGAGTGCCTGGTGGATTGTAACCTAGGGCCACAATCTTGGGTGAGTGCAGAATAAAGAGGCCTCTCAGGAATTGCTGAGCTGAGCTATATGAATCCTGGCTTTGTTTAAAATTTTGGTATACTGTTCATGGGTTATTTTTACATTAAGTTTGATTAAAAAATGCATTAATATAGTATTCATGCTGGTTACTGAGTTGTGTGGTACCCTCTTAAATTTTGCCCCAACGTGGGTGTCTCTCTTGTCTCATCCTCGTCCCAACCCTGCTTGACCTGCCCACCCAGCCCAGTAAAAAAAAAATCTCCCAGGGCAGCAGAAGCAGGGAATGGAAAGACTCCTCCAAGACTAATTGGTTCCCAAGGCAAGGATTCATTTGTATGAGCCGTGCCAACTGGTCCAGAGGGTGGGGCAATATTTTCACAGGCAGCACCGGTGGGTTCTCAGCACAAAGGTGACCTCTGCTATGGGGGTGGAGGGGCAGGTAGATGGCTCCTCTTCCAACTTCCCAGAGAAAAATTACTGCAGGAGCCTGAGAAAAGGAGGAGCGCTGGCATGCACACAGAGCCAAGTCCTACATTGTGAAATATCAGTCCTCATTCTGTGACTGAAGCTCTCTCTCTTTTTTTTTGGCTGGGTACAGTATACTTTATTGATGGTACATGACAAGGTAGGGCTCCCCAAGCCTCTCCCCTTCTTCAGGGGGTCTGGGATGGAAACAGTGGAGGTCGGGAGATTCTCAGTGTTTGGGGGGATAAGTTGTGGCAGGGACTCCTCAGCAGCTGAGGGCCTCTCTCTTCCTCTTGCTCTCACTGGGGCTGGTGGTCCAGGGGGCTCTTACTCCTTGGAGGCCATGTGGACCATAAGGTCCACCACCCGGTTGCTGTAACCAAATTCATTGTCATACCAGGAAATGAGCATGACAAAGTGGTTGTTGAGAGCAATGCCAGCCCTGGCATCGAAGGCGGAGGAATAGGTGTCACTGTTAAAGTCGCAGGAGACAACTTGGTCCTCAGTGTACCGCAGGATGCCCTTGAGGGGGCCCTCCGATGCCTGTTTCACCACCTTCTTGATGTCGTCGTATTTGGCAGCTTTCTCCAGGTGGCAGGTCAGATCCACGATGGACATGTTGGGGGTGGGGAGACGGAAGGCCATGCCAGTGAGCTTCCCGTTCAGCTCAGGGATGACCTTGCCCACAGCCTTGGCAGCACCAGTGGAAGCAGGGATGATGTTCTGGGCAACCCCTCGGCTGTCGCACCACAGCTTCCTAGAGGGGCCGTCCACGGTCTTCTGGCTGGCAGTGATGGCATGGACGGTGGTCATGAATCCCTCCATGATGCTGAAGTTGTCATGGATGACCTTGGCCAGAGGAGCCAAGCAGTTGGTGGTGCAGGAGGCATTGCTGGCAATCTTGAGGGAGTTGTCATACTTATCATGGTTCACACCCATCACAAACATGGGGGCATCGGCAAAAGGAGCAGAGATGATGACCCTCTTGGCCCCGCCCTTCAAGTGAGCCCCAGCCTTCTCCATGGTGGTGAAGACCCCAGTGGACTCCACAACATACTCAGCACCAGCATCACCCCATTTGATGCTGGCGGGATCTCCCTCCTGGAAGATGGAGATGGACTTTCCATTGATGACAAGCTTCCCGTTCTCAGCCTTGACTGTGCCGTGGAATTTGCCATGGGTGGAATCATACTGGAACATGTAGACCATATAGTTGAGGTCAATGAAGGGGTCATTGATGGCGACAATATCCACTTTGCCAGAGTTAAAAGCAGCCCTGGTGACCAGGCACCCAATACGGCCAAATCCGTTCACTCTGACTTTCACCATCGTGTCCCGGGGACGCGGCTGGCACTGCACCAGAAGATGCGGCTGTCTGTCGAACGGGGAGGAGCAGAGAGCCGAAGTTCTCTTAATTGAGAGGCTGGCGTGGAGCTTGTCTGCTCATCCCCTTTCAGCTCCTTTGTTCCCAAACGGCTCACACTGCCATTATGTAAATTATTTAAGCATGTAGCCAATGAAACGGGAGTTCAAAAAGTGAGTTGTGATTTATGCAGAAACGAAGTGAAATGCTTGGAAGACACTGGATAACTGCGACCTTAAGAAATCACTACAGGATTAGGTGTCTGAGGGAAAGCTGAAAGCCTGGGAAGGAAGGTGGTAAAAATCTGGAAGGACTCATGCAGATTGCTTCGTGAGTGTCTCAAAGTCATTGTGCTATTTTCAAGAAATGGAATTATGGGTGATATATGATGGCAGTGGTTTATAGAAGATAGAAAGTGAAGAACCCAAAGGATTGGTGAACACATCTATTTACAAGTTTTAAATTAAAATGTTTAAAGAATATGTGTGATTTGTAATAATCTCTCTAGCCAACTTTTCACTTACGCAGTCCCACTCACGTCAGATAAGAGAGATTTTCCTATATTTGTTTATGTCAATGTCATCCTCCATATATCCTTTGGGAGTCCCACGACTGATAGGTCCTAGTAATTTGTGTCTGTGCCGCACCCAGCATTTTCAAGTCTCGATATCACTATGCTTACTTCACGGCAAGGAAACATTTACTTTCATTGGTTAAAATCAGTTGGCCTGTAGTTGAGAAGTCATTTGCATGAACAGCACTGATTGGTTCCTTAAAGCAAGGAACATTTGCAAAGGTGGCGTGAATGGTTCATAGGCTAACAGTACATTTGTAAGCCAGCGTGTGGTTGATCATCAGGGTAAGACTCTCCTTGTGAATTTGTGCTTTATGGGGAGTGGAGTGGGGCAGTTCCTTACCCAAACTGGAGAAGGCACCTCTCCCTCCAGCTCCAAGGTTCACCAAAGGCCACAGAAATGTATTTTATTAGTGAATTTTCCTGATCTTTGCCAGTGCCATAGACCCCATGGTGGGGGGCAAAGGGATGATGTGAGGTAGGTAAGTGCAGGGAGGGGAGAAGTGGAGTGTGGGTTTACTTTTACTTACCTTCCGGGGCCAGCTGTTGGGCTTCCCACCTTCACTTCCAACCACCCTGGGCAGCTGCGGCCCCTAAGTGGGGAGCCCACAGCTAAGAGTTCTAAAAAGAGAAAGGGTTTTGGGTCCAGGAAGTAGTGACGCATTCAAACAATATAACTACACTTGCTGCATTCCCAAACCCCAAAGAAAAAAAAATCCTTGTTCTGGAAAGATCCCAAGAAGTCAGTGTCCTGCCCTTCGCTCTACTTCTTTGGAACTTCCATCCAGCTTTCTTAAACCATAGGACTGAGTCCAGTGTGGGCAGGGAGGGCCCCAACCCACCGGGGGACTGGGAAAGTGCCTCTGGGTGACAGGGGTCACCTCCAGACACCAATGCAGACAGCAGTAGGGCCCTGGTCACCGTGTGTCTGTAGGAGTCCTCTAAGTGTGGCTCTGCCTCAGGCCCTGGCTTTATGAGTCAGCTTACAGGCCAGAGATATACTAGGAATACAGAAGATGGGGATTTTTCTCGAAGCCAAGTGGAACAAAGGGCCTGTGTGCAAATATTTTTTTCCATTTCTCTTCTCACCTGTCACCCTGGAAATACTTTGAAAAAGATGCCAAAGGTGGATATGGAGATATGGGTTCTATTTGCTTTCAAGAGATTATGTTATGTGTTAAAGAAAGAAGGAAAATAGTGGTTGTCGGTCCTCAGAGTTGTGTTTTCAAAGAAAAGATCATGTTGGCATGCTGAATGCCCCCAGTAGGGCTGGCATTCCCGGCCAGGGGACATCTGGCACTGTCTGGAGACATTCTCAGTTGTCATGGTAGGGCCTAGGGCGTTACTGGCATTTAATGGGTAGAGACGAGAGGGGCTGCTAAACATCCCACGATGCACAGGGCAGCTCCTCACAAGGAATTACCCTGCCCCCAATGTCAATGGTGCCAAGGTTGAGGATTCTGTTCTAGGCTGTGCCATGGCTTGCCGTGTAACCTTGTATGAGTCATGTACGTCTCTAGGCCTGGCGCCTGCCCATCAGTGAAACAGGGAGAGAAACGTTGCAACATTATGGTGAGGATTTGAAAAACACAGGGAATGTACTTACATGAGAGGAGCACAAGATCGATCTGCACAACTGGGGTTTGGCAGCACCAGCCACGGGGCGAGAGAGAGAGTACTAGCAGAGGAGGGCTTGGTTGGGATGGATCAAGGTGTGTTTTATTGTCTGCTCCCAAGACAACAGCAGTTTGCACGTTCTCTGATAACTTCATCTTCCAAATGGGGTCAAAGCAGGACCTTCTTAGAAAGGGGGCTGACACTTGCCAAACACCACATATATGTTAGATGTATTTGCATGTCTTATTTAAGCTTTACCAAACCCTGCAAGAGGGTTCCAAATATTAGACGAGGAAGCTGAGGTTCAGAGAGGTAAAGTGGCTTGCCCAAGATCACACAGCTTCTAAGGTAGAACAGGAATGCCAACCTAGGTTGATCTGTTTTCAAAGTCCCTTTTCTTGATGCCTCTGATGCTGGCCTTCTGAATCGCGTCCTGCAAGAAGCCCCTTGTTTTTGGTGGGGGAAGGGTGGAGAAGATGAAGGGTTTCCTCACTCTTCCTTAGACTCTCAGCCTCCTTGCTTGTGGTCAGAGCCCAGTGCCAGGCAGGCCAGGCTTTGGGGAGAGAGCCCTCCTCTGTGACCATAGCCAGAAAGGCAGAGAAGAAAGTGAACGTCAACAGTTAAGACCTGGGCTCAAGTCCGGGGCGCCTGGGTGGCTCAGTCGTTAAGCGTCTGCCTTCGGCTCAGGTCATGATCCCAGGGTCCTGGGATCGAGCCCCGCATCAGGCTCCCTGCTCAGCGGGAAGCCTGCTTCTCCCTCTCCCACTCCCCCTGCTTGTGTTCCCTCTCTCGCTGTGTCTCTCTCTCTGTGTCAAATAAATAAAATCTTTAAAAAAAAAAAAAAAAGAAGAAGACCTGGGCTCAAGTCCTCACTGAGTCAGATTTGGATGTTCTATCTTGGACGGTTCACTCATCTTATGGGCCTGAGTTTCCCCAGTCACCATCTGGGTCCTGTCACAGGTGTGAGACCCCTTGACCCCCTGAGCTCAGGATTGATCCCCTGAACTCAGGACTGATCTCCTAAGCTCAGAAAAGTCCTAGAAGCTTTGGCCTGTCCATGTCATCTTTTAGACACTAACTAATGAATTGGAGGAACAGGAAAAGAAACGTTTGGGGACCACGCCTGCCCAGATGAATCAGAAATTCTCCAACAATTACCTCAGCTTCATTAGAATGTTAAAACTCCCTCTGAATATTGATTTAAAGCCCTAATAAAAGGAGCCTGCTGGGGAGTCCCGGCTTTGGAAGCTATTCCCCAGTGACCTCCTTGTTTGTACAAATAAAGTGACTTCTGCCTGGTGTAGATTCGGTCTCTAGTGCAACACGGAATGGGCCCACTTTGGTCCAGCAACAGCCCCAACTGCAGGATTGCCGTAAGGCTGAGAAAACTGGTGTGAAGAGTTTTGTCATCACCCAAGGGTCACTTGAAGGTGAGGGAGGCAGGGGTGCAGAATCCGGTTGGACTGGAAATCAGAACACTGGGGTTCTAGTTCCAACGCTACCCCTAAGTCCTCCTAACAGTTTGGGTTCTTTTTTTTTTTTTTTTAAGATTTTATTTTATTTATTTGAGAGAGAGAGAGTGAGAGAGAGAGCACAAGAGGGGCTAGGGTCAGAGGAAGGAGGAGACTCCCTGCTAAGCAGGGAGCCCGATGCGGGACTCAATCCTGGGACTCCGGGATCATGACCTGAGCCGAAGGCAGTCACCTAACCAACTGAGCCACCCAGGCCCCCCCAGTTTGGGTTCTTGATTATAGTCAGCTGCAGTCACTACCACAACAAACTATTTCTAAAGTGTTCTATTTATCTCAAAAATTAATGTGAATTTGGCATTCTGCTCCATGTAGCTGTGTTTACTATAAAAATAAGGTTTGTCCTGTATGAGGTCACTGAACAAATACCAGTTTGGCATATGTCCTGGGCTTGCTGTGTGACCTTGGGTAAGTCACACAGGCTCTCTGGTCTGGGGTTGCCCATCTATAAAACAGAGAGAGGGATATATGGCCAGTCTGTTTCACCACGTTGCTGTGAGGGGTTAAAGGTGATAGAAAACTTCAAACAAGCTGAAGCCGGTCACTGATTGGGCCACAAAACGGAAAAGTCCAGGAGCATGTTAGCTTCAGGCAAAGCTGGATCCAGGACTCCTCTCCTCTCCATCTTGGGGCTCTGTCTTCCACAGTGAGGGGCCACTCTCAGGCTCTATTGAGTGGACTGTAGCAGCTCCAGGAACAAGATGGCTACAGAATCTCTGGCCCAGGGTTTCTCAACTGTGGCACTATTTTGGGCAAAGATTCTTTGTTATCAGGGCCGTCCTGTGTACTGTAGGATGTTTGGCAGCATCCCTGGCCTCCAGCCACTAGATGCCAGGAGTCCCTTCCCCCAGGTTACGGCAACCAGAAATCTCTCCACACATTGCCAAATATACCCTGGGGAGCAAAATCACCCTTTCTTCCTCTTTCTTCCCACTTTCCTTCTGTAGTCTCACACCGACCCAATAGAGGGGGTCCTGTGATGCTCTGATTGGACCTGCCTCAGGTCACGTGTCCACCCCAGAACCAGTTGTTGTGCTGGAGGGGGGATGCAATGTGTTGATTGGCCAGGGCTGGAGCACAAGTCCCGCCCCTACATCTGAGCATAAGGCTCCACCCAGACCACGGGGAGAAGATGGAGGGGGGCCAGGAGCGGGCAGAAACAAAGCTCCAGGCTTCCGGAGAGGGAATGAAATATAGGCCAGCAGAGAGCAAGTGACCCCACATTCCGCTCTCCCCTCTGGGCCTTAGTTCCTTATTTATATGTTGTTGGACAACAAGGCAATCTGGAAACTTGTGAGCTGGGCTGGGTCCTTGAGGTCTCCGT